GCGGAAGCAGTCACATACAGAGTGGCCACAAACCTCGAGGCTCCCTCCCACTCTCCTCCGAGGTTCCCCCCACCTTGCTGGCCTTCCTTGCCTCGTACTCGCCGGCATCAACACTGAAGTTCAATCGAGGAAAGCACAAGGGAACAGTCCACAGAGGATGGAAGCTCATTTAAAATACCTTTTAAAATATCCAAGAATATCTGTAGCAGCTCCGCTTATACCTTCAGCACCCATGAATAGAAAAATGGATGAATATATTGTATAATGTGAACACAATATTTTACTATTTGACACTAAACATGAATGAACTAAATCCATATATCAACCTGTGTGAATATCACACATGATAAATTGAGAGGGGGAAAAAACGAGTTGCAGAAAAGTACATACACTCTGGTACCATTTGTATAACGTCCACATACTTTCAAATCAATAATATATTTTATTCACCAATAACTATATCTGTAGTAAAATTTCACTACTCCAGGTACTGATGTACTCCAAGTACACGGTGACTTTTATTGGAGAATGACATTAGAAACCAAGATCCTGGTGATAGGTATGTTTATTCTTTGTTACTGGTGTGTGGCTGCCTCCAGGCCCTGTCAGCTGACGGGGGAGGAGAGGTAGGCATGTATATTAACTAGTGCATAAACACATCTCCATAAATATTTCTGTGTGGAACCATCTGTATGTATTTTAAGCTAACCATGCGTTCATACTGATCCTCCAACTTTGATCCATTACCATAATTACCATAATTCTAGCCTCCCCCCCTTGCTTATCTGTAAACTCCAGTTCTAAAAGTGAGAAACCCTCTTCCCATCCGCCACCTATTTACTTAATTGTTCAATTAAGTATACATGTACAGTAGTATCAGAATTGTCAACTCATAACCCTGTGAGAAACAATTAGCTAGAATATGATACCTCCACGAGTACAGTGCAATAGGAAAAGGGAAAAAACAAGGAAAACCTGGCAAACGTCACCTGGGCCAGGTGAACAGGGTCACCGTCAACAGGGACAAGTCACGCTGATAGTGAAACCCTCGATATGATGTGATGAGAATGGCACTTCCCCTGTGGCCTTCCTCCCAAAAACCCATAACCTCAGTCTAATCATAAGAAAAACACGATCCCGATGGAGGCACTGCTACAAAATACCTGGCCGGTGCTCCCGAGAACTGCCAAGGCCATCAGAACCAGGGCAAGTCTGAGGAACCAGCGCAGCCAAGAGGAGCCTGAACGTAAAGTGCTATCTTGGAAGAGATCCTGGAACAGAAAAAGGATGTTGGATAAAAACTACGGAAATCTAACAAAGCATAAATATCGGTTAACAGTGTATCAATACTTGTTCATTACTTATAATACACAGACCATAGTAATGTAAGACATTAATACTAGGGGCAACCGGATGTGGGGCATGTGGTAACTCTCTGTACTATCTTCACAATTATTTTGTAAATCTAAAGCCAGCTTCAAAAAATAAAGTTTATTTTTAAGAAATGAATGGGAAAGCTATACACCAAATTCAAGATGATGGTTACTTCTGGGGACAGGGAAACAAGATCCAGAAATTACACAGGGATCCTCCCATCGTGTTGTGATATTGAATCATAATTGTAAGAATGTAAACCCTGAAACCAGGCTGTCTGTATGCGATGTCGCTGAGAAATGCAGGCCTGTGCTACAGGAGTTCCGAGGGTGTAGAGGCCAGTGTGGTCTGGGAGGAGGATGGGCGAGGGGGCGGGAGGCTATTGCGCGTGGTTGGAGAAGTGTGGAGAGGAGAGAAGAAGGGTTTGAGAAAAAGCCCAGCAGAGGTCTTTGGCTGAGACTGGGCTGTGCGTGGCACCTGAGCAGTAAGGCCGTTGGGGGACCCAGTCCTGGGCCAAAGTCCCCCTGGGGAGACTCACCAGAAACCCCTTCGCAGCTTTCTCTGCCCCAGGACCAGCCCCGCCTTTGC